CTGGTGCATGTTTGCACGGGATAGTATACCGGGTGATAAAGAAATCATTTTACACGGCGTCATTCTATTGTTTCGGAGGTAAGAAATTTGAAATTCGCAACGGAGGTATAGTTCATTAGCGCCGAAATTCCTAGTGAAAAACAATTTGCTTCAAATTGCATTAGCAATTTACAAGTTGAAAACATCTCAGTTGTGAATAAACCATCAACTGAATTTCTGTGACTAATTATTGACAGTGATTTGAAATTTGAAGACCATATCAGGGGTCTCAAATCAAAATTGTCCTTTGGGTCTTACGCTGTGAGGCTGACATCTTGTGGGTAGGATTTGCTGCTTACATATCACTCTCTCATAGAATCTCACCTACGATATGAAATCTGGGGTGCATGTACTGTGGCAGAATTGCAATCAATTTTAGTTATACAGAAAATAGCTGAACGTTACTGTGTAAAGCAGAGCCACGAGATTCTTGCAGACCACCGTTTAAGGAAAAGAAAATCCTCACTGTAATATCAATTTTTATTATCTCTATATATCTCACTGTGAAAAAACAAAATCAATTTTTAATTAACGCAAACGCCACTCGACAAAAAACTATTTTAATTTGCCCATTCCAAAATATTCCATCATTGAAGACTCTTTCATTTATGGAGAAACTCATCCCCCTCTGTTAGAGTTTTCCGTCTTCAAAAACGTGCTAAACGTTTGATGACTGATACCCCGTATAATGTCTCATGCCGAGAACTCTTCAAGAAGCTCAGTATTCTATGTCTTCCTTCTATCTATATCTATCAAAGTCTCCTCGAAATACATACAAGAAATACTGAAATTGACAGAAATAACGATTTCCACAATTATTCAACCAGAAAAGCAGAACATATGAGGCCTCCTAGAAAATATACTTGCAATCTCACAACGCAATGGGGAATGTTCCTCAATTTGGGCTATTACAGCAAATGCAAGTTTGAACAAAATGAAGTTAAGTTTTATTCACGAGTTTTTCAAATTCACTTCGAAAAGTATTCAAATTGATGTTTCAAATGTTCAGTTTCAATTTTTAAAGGCATTTGTTTCTAATTCACATATTGGCAACAGCGCCTTGCATATAATATATCAAGTTGGAATAATTTATACGTACCTAGATATTCTACTTCAAAAAAGGAAAATAATCTTTATAAATCAACAATTAAGACAAAATATAAATTATAGTTCAATACCACCTCCACAAGCCACATAAACAACAGTTGTTTTGTTATTTATTTATATAGAGGAAGATAGGTGCACAACATTTCATGTCACAGAATGTCTCGGAACTCGGAAAATAAGTGAACAGAACAGTACGCCTCTAAAAGATGTCATCTCTGTTTGTCTCATACAGGTAACACATTCATTGTCCTTTATTAGCTATAACCAATGTTGCCAAATGGTGAAATAGAAACAAATCCCTTTAAATGTTGAATGCATTAAGTATTTAAAAAATTTTTTAAAGAGAAAGGTTGAAATGATAAGTTGTTTTAGAGCTATTTTATGAAAACTACTTGATTTTCATCACCATTCCCTGAACTTGCATCTGTACAAGTTACCACGTGACTGGAGAAATCTCGATGTTATCCCTTTTAAAAGGAAGATGAAACAATTCTTGGTAAATTTCAATTTTTATTCGGTGGAAGAGTACTTAGGGTACGCAATTTCTAATAATTATGCATGTAGTTATGCATGTTTCTTTCAGATTAACCTCATGCAGTTTCTACTAGACATTCCATCTAATAAACTGTTACCATTTTTTACCTTTTATCTCTATACATTTTATCTATATATTAACTTTTTATCTTTACATATTTTATATACACAATATTTTCCTAAGCACACATCTACTTAGTTGACACTCATCTCATCTATTATTTTGTATTTTCCTGAAAACTATACACCATTGGACTTGTCATAAATGTATTTTATACATAATATGATGAAATGAATAAATAAATAAATGAATGGGTTGAAAGTATTCAATCTCCTTCCATCCCATTTATAAATCGCGTGCCATAACAGGAACTTCGGAGAAGTTTAAAAGTTTTTTTTTGTGAGAGAGTCTATTACAATTTATCAAAGTACTATAAAGATACGTTTTAATTCGACTTATGTCTGACTCTCAATACATTTTAAGTAATCAATCTTGTAAATTTTTAAAATATATTCTTATTGGCTATTGTGCCATGTAAATACAAACTGTTTGTGTTATCTTTTTCTGTCTTTTTTTTTTGTTATACATGCATATCCACTTGTCCATCTGCCCGCGAATAGATCAAGCAATAATGTCGATATATCAAGGAGCGCCATCTGACCGCGAATAGATTAAGCAATAATGTCGATAAATCTGTCAAATACAGATCCCGAGCCTGAGAGTTACCAACAAAAATACATATATACATACATAAAGGTGAAGCTAATAAAAACGTATTAAAATTAAAAAAAATTAACAAAACTTTTGAAATAACCTAATACTAGGCACTTAATCAATCTGTGCCAGTGAAAACGTTATTGATATCAAAGCTTTCTACATTATCTTATTAGATAGTAGTTTCTTTCGACATTAAAAAATGGACTTGCAAAAGAAACGAACACTTGTTATATGTCGTTGAAAAGAGAATTTCAAGTTCTATCAAATAGTTTGAAAAATAAACAGGGGTCTATTTGAAATTATTGACTTGAGTTTATTTACGATTGGACCTCAATTGATTTCCAATTGTTTTTTATTGAAAATATCGGTTATATGGTTTTGACTTTTTTACTTCAGAAACGAATTAATGGCGCCGTATACAATGAATTTGTTGTCACCTGGTCTAGGAGAAACTTCGGAAAAATCTTCTTCGAAATCAACATCAAAAAGTTATCATATATTCATTTGCCTATCTTCGACACATGGACTCTAAGAATCACTGTTTCAATTTTTACTGCATCAATAAAAACCCCCAATAATAGATTTCTCCAATATCTTCCATGTACGGATGACGATCAGTCACAGTTTCCCAAGATACATTGTTTTCCATTTCGATGAAAACATGAGTTGGGTAAAGTAGAAGAGTAGTAAATGTATGGTATGGGGACGACTTGGTATCAATATTACTATCATAACGAGCATGATTCTCATTATAATCCTACTCCATATAATTAGACCTGAAACAATATTCGTCTCTGATCTTCGACAAATGTTCAACGCAATAAACCAAACTAGTTGAATTAATTGAGCTAGTCGAATTAATTATGATTAATTTGCAATATGCAAATCCTATGGCAGACTACCAGATATCTTGGTGCTGGATTCTAGCCAGCAGCCAGTCGAGAAACATTGCCTTCTCATTCTCGATATCCGTAATCATAACCGTGTTTCACTAACAACTGATGACATGGTGTAGTCAATTTCGACAGTTAGTACTGATACTCTACTTATAAGTTTTTGAATTTTTGTGCTACTTTTGTTATTTTTAAAACAATAGATTGAAAAACAATTTCGTGTTTTAAGTTTACACTGCTTGTTGATGGGAAAAATACCGTTCAAGCGAAGCAATAGCTTGAAAAGTGTTATAAGGACTCCGCCTCATCAGAAACAACAACTAAACGTTGGTTTGCTGATAGTCTAATCAATAAGTTCAAAAACATGAAAAATAGAGATAAAGGTTCTAAAAATTTGAGCGATAGCTCATTCGATTCGGAATCACCTCTAGAACAATGTTTTTGAAGGATTTTGGTGCAGGTAAAAATTTGCAATTGTTATTAACAAAATAAGATTTAGCGGCTGTTACGGCATGCGCGCCCTGCCGCTAAAGAGATTTTATCAAAAGAAATAATTTTTTTATAGCATAAAATGTATTTTTTTTCTACTTCAGAAAAAAAAATATTTGGATCCATTACCTCACTCCTACTGGTGAATCTCGTCCGAGGCGTCCGAAAGCACACAACAATCGGCTGGAAAGATTATGGCATTGGTATTTTGAGAAGTGCGTGGTGTAATATTCATCGACTATTTTAAGAAGGGAAATACTATCAACAGTGAATATTATTTAGCGTTATTGGAGCGTTTGAAGGCTGAATTTGCAAAGAAACAACCGCATATGGCTAAGAAAAAATTTTTTTTCATCAAAACAAAGCACTGTGTCACAAGTAAATCAAAACAATGGCAAAACTACATGAATTAAACTTTGAATTTATCCCACGTCCACCGTATTCGCCAGATTTGTCTCCCTGCGACTACTGGCTGTTCGCAGAGTTATTGCTGAAACTGAGTCCTATTTTGAAGCAAAAGGTAAATTATTCTTTTCTTTTTTCTTTCTCTTTTCAGTACAGGTAGCTGGTTTGCAGTGCTGCACATCAAATTTACTGGTGATTTTTACAATGAATTGGTTTGAGCTCTTTTGCACAAAAAAGTGGTATCATTTCTAGATGTTGATCTTGGTACAAGAAAATCTATTGCAGAAAGTAACAGGAAAGTAAAAAAAAAATCTGATGAAATGAGTTTCAAGTTTATTCAGTTAGAGTGGTGATTAGAGAAAGACCGAGTAGCATGATTTGCCAGTTTGCTGTGATTCTCAAAGGATTGCTGGACAATTATATCTAATACCTATCATTGCTAGAGATGACGAAAATTCAGGATTTTTGAGAAATAGTTATTCTCACAACCTAATTATAGCATTGCAAGATTTCGTTTAAGGAATAGAAAACTCTTTAATTTTTTTCACGTCACTTCACTCCCTCTTATGAATTTTGATTTTCAATTTCGTGTACTTACTACCATTAGAAGAAAAATTAAGTTTGGGAGCACTCTATATTTCTATTTTTCGCGTTAAACTTTTTTATTTATGAAAAGTCAAGACATCAATGAAATCAACCGTCATTTCAAAAAACCAAACAATTAAATCAGTAGTTTTGAATACATTTTGTCCTATATAGTCCGCGAGATATCGAGAATCATTTCGAAATTTTTAACGAAGTGAATATATCCTCGATCTAAATACTGATTCTTGAGTGTGGTACAGGTTAAAACTGAATCAGCTGCTCTGTACTGTCGGTTAAACTATTCCGTGTGTAATTTACAGATTTCAATTTTCATGGGATCCCAGAACCAAACTTGTTAGGAGTCTCTTCGTGATCTTATCAATTGGATTTGTTTTCAGTTACTTTTCTTCTTTGCCACAACTTTTAGATTGAGTTTTTTTCTAAGACAGATAATTATTCCAACAAACTTTAGTCCCAATTGACAACTCACCTTCATTAGACACGCTTCTTCTTTCTAAATCTGTCCCTCCTAAACTGTTTCCATTCACATATTCCGTACCGGATTTCCTAGGAATCATCCTCAGTACATTTATCCCTATTTTATTGCGGTTGATTGGCCTAAAAAGACCATATTACCAATAAATAACGATATGTCGTAACACTTCAGTGGAATAATAATGGCGCAAAATAATATTAAAGCCGAGATGATTTAGTGCAGTTTTTGATGTATGGCACATCCAGAATTAATTCCCACCAACGGCGTCGGTTATTAAACTTGAGAAATGGGGGCGAGCAGAAAGACACTGCTGAACACGAGTAGCATTAATGTTTAGTACTGGCGTCGTGTCAGATACAATCGTTAATCACCCACAGAAACATAAAACTTGTCGAGTCCAAGAACAGTCATATAATTATTCAATAGATGCACTTTTCAATTTGCTACTCCTAGTTGTGGAAATGATAGAAAATGTCTTCTATTTTCAATGTAAAAGAAGATGCTGACGATGTAACAGTACTTGCAAAAACAAAATAGAAGAATCATAAGAATGAAGAAGATGATTCATAGGAGTACATGAAAATAGCAAACTTGTACAAATCAAGACAATAAAATAGCGTTAATAGAACCAATAGCAGACAGAGAGTCCAGAGGTTAGAGACAGAAAGGTGAAGAACAGAAAACTGAAACTATGAAATGTTGAGAAATTCAACAAGGACTTCCAACAGGGACTCTTGATGAAGCTACATCTGAAATTTGTAATTTACTCCAGTATGTTCTGCAAGATCACCATAGACGGATATATAATTCAACAACACGTGCAAATAATAAAATGTTTTATCAAAATGGGTTATCTGTTCTGGTAACGAACCGCGCGCATCTCCTATTTAACGGTCGCCGTAATGGTGGTGGATAAATTTGAGTCCACTAGTTCAGTAAACGATGTATGAACACCTGTACGTTGATGAAATGCAAGATCTATCGAAACATCGACGTTGTCTGTGAGAGTGTGCAGGAGAATCCGAGGCAGTCGATTTCGCGTCGCTCAGAAGAACTCAGCCTTTCGCAGATCATAACTTGGCGAATTTTGCGTCGTAACTTGGACCTACACCAGTACAAATTTCAACTGATCCAGGTACTGAAGGTAATCGACTATAGACAACGGCGTGTGTTCGCTGAATCAGTCTGGAACAGTTGGCAACTGACCTTACTTTATATCGAAAAATAATCATTGCCTGTTAAAAGCGAGCACTTTAGGTCGATGACTACCAACTTCTTGTGGCCTGAATTTGATGATCTGGACACCAACGACATGTGGTTTCAATAATTTCAACACATTGAATATTCTGCACGAGTGATACCACACTGTATTGATGAAGTTAAACATATTTTCAACGAGTCCCTCAGACAGGGTATTTTTCCAGATGTTTGGAAGGTTGCTAATATAATTCCAATTTCGAAAAAGAATGCATCTACCACGTTCAGTGACCTACGCCCTATCAGCATTCTGCCCTTATTCTCTAAAATATTCGAGAAAAATATTTCCCGTCAAATAAGAGCTTTTCTTGAAGAAAATCGAATACTCCCGTACGAGCAATCTGGGTTCCGCAAAAAACACGAAACATAGACTGCCCTCTTGAAATTAATCGACGATCTTGCGAGATTCAGAGATCAATCAAAAGTTACAATTTTAGTACTGCTTGATAAAAGTAGAGCTATCGATTTAGTTAATTTCGATTTACTCATCAGCAAGCTCAAGTTCATAGGATTCGATGAATTTCTTTAGAATGGATAACCAGCTATCTCACAGGCCGATCACAGAGGGTCAAACTGGATGATTACTCATGGTCATCCCTAAAAGAACCAATCTCAGGTGTACCGCAGGGAAGTATTTTAGGACCCTTGATGTTTCCAGTGTTTATTTTTTTGTCTTCTCATAACACCGATACAGAAAGTTGCGTGGCCAATATAAACACTGATTTGCACAACACATTCCTATACTCGGAGAATCATGGACTGAAAAGCAATCCAAATAAAACTTTGGCCTTATGCATAGGGTCTCAAAGACAAAAAGTAGAAACTCAGTGTAACTTCAGGCTCACTCTCGATAACGCAGACAATGACTGGGTAGACAGTGCTAAAAATCTTGGCGTAACCATAGATAGCTCTTCGTCGTTCCATGAACACGTGACAAACATTTTCAAAGTATCATTCTTCAAACGCAAATCGCTATACAAATTCACGTATCACTTGATATGGGGGTAAATAAGAGTTTTAACTAACCTGAGTTTCCTATCGAGTATTGTTGTTCGGTGTATTACAATTTTTTGCCGCAATATAACAAACAGAAGTTACAACGTATACAAAATGCTTGCATGCGATTCGTATGCTGCATATAACAAGGTGAACATGTCACACCATTTTTGTTAAAAATGAAGGAGCTGAATGTGAGGTACAGAGTCCAATATTTGATACATTTTTTTTTGTTTAAGTTGCTTCAAACTAAAACACCTAGTTATTTATATAGTTTATTAAGCAGGCAATCTGACATACATATGGTCATGACATACATATGGTGATTCAACATACCTAGGCACCGTTCTCAAACCGTTATTTCAACACCTTGACACGTGTTTCGATCACCAAGTGATCATCTTCAAGAGAAAGATTAAACTGACAGTTTGGTATTGGGACACAAACTCCAGTAATATTCAAAAGAAACAGTGTTTGGAGATGTGGGTACCGAAAAAGAGAGAGAAAAATTATAATATGAGGAACGATAATATTACGAGCAACATGTTGAGGAATGAATACAGGAGATGGGAATTGGGATTTATATAAAACACTAAATATAACACCAATAATGAAAAAAAAACCAGGTTGATAGGACATGTCAATGAATTGAAAAATAATAGAATAAACAATTATCATTGGAAGACCACCTTGTTAAAGGAGAGATAAGGTACTAGATAAGAATGGCTGAAGACAATTGGTAAGTGAAGCCGATAAAAAATGCAAAAAAGCTATTTACAATTGCTTTATGACCAAAGACTTCAAAGTTTGATGAAAAAACACACAAACTTTCACGGAAAATAGGTCAATTATTAGGATAATTACCTCACGGTGCATTACTGCTAAACCCTTGAGATTCAAGAGTCCCATAATTTTAATCATTTAAAGAAATTATTATTTAGGCTCACTCTCGATAACGCAGACAATGACTGGGTAGACAGTGCTAAAAATCTTGGCGTAACCATAGATAGCTCTTCGTCGTTCCATGAACATGTGACAAACATTTTCAAAGTATCATTTTTCAAACTCAAATCGCTATACAAATTCACGTATCACTTGATATGTGTATCGTCCCTTCTGCAGAACCTCTTCGATCTTCTGTTCCTAGAGAACGGTATCCATTACCACAGTAGCGTTTCCTTTATCTGCAGGTAGGATCTTAATGGTGTTGTCTCTACGTAGGCCGTTCAGAGCTTTACGTTCTTCCTTGCTGATGTTAGATGTTGGAACTGGTTCTCGATCCAACTGTTCTCTAATTTTCCATCTGAACTCTTCTGCCTCGGTCTGGTCAATGAGGGAACTGGTGGATTCCACTGCAGTAATTATCTCCAAAGTGGGCACAGATGTTGGCGTAATGGCAAAATTCAGGCCTTTCCTCAACAAGGATTCCTCTATTCCCGTGAGCGGGCGGGCTTTTTTAATTATTCTTTTTTACTTGTTTCAGGGATTTCAAATCATTTTATATAGTAGACAATGGAAGTCCGAACTAGTGAAACCTTCAAAGTTTGAAGAAAAAACACACATACTTTCACGGAAAATAGGTCAATTATTAGGATAATTACCTCACGGTGCATTACTGCTAAACCCTTGTGGTTCAAGAGTCCCATTTTTTCATCATTAAATATCCTTTTATCAAATATCCTTTTCGACAACTTCAACCCAATAGATAAAAATAAGCTGAGCTTATTCGGACCGTATTAAATTGTTCATTATTAATCAATCTCCTAATATGGACTTGCATTGAAATTACTAAACTTCCTACATATCACTTCCTCAAGAATCGCTTCAGAAGTACACCAGAGAACATTATTATTAATGTCTTCCCATTAACGCCCCTAAAAATGGGAGAATAGAACTATCCCCTCGGATATTACCGAAACTTTTCCTTGGAAGCAATTACGTTGGTCCAGACCTGAAAAGCTAATGCAAGCGTATGGAAATGTTGCTGGGCCTTTTGCAGTCCCTTTAGCCATAAATTCGTGTCGTAATGGAAGTGAGAGGACAAAAGGAATGCGGTTTAATCACACACCTTAGTGGTTAATAGGTCCTGCAGATGACCTATACAGGGTCATATGTAAAACAATGGAATATGCGTGGCAGATTATTTTCAGTTATAAGCAGAATTAACAAAAGGATAACTGATATAGGTGTGCACAAGAAAGCTAACGTGAAGAAAAAGTTTACTCCGAAATGTTATCGATGTGGTCATAGAGGACATTTGAAGAAATACTGTACCACATACATCGAAACGAATGTTACTTCAGTACAAGGTTCTGTTGAATATGCAATCCAACTATCGTTTGGATGTAGACCCAACTGAAAATATTGTAAAATGAATGATGAACCTTGTACGTTTTGATGTCTTCGGTACAGTATTTCTTCAAATGTTCTCTATGGCCACATCGATAACACTTATCTTTCTCGTTATCGTTATCTTTCTTGTGCAGGGTTGATGTTATTGGTGGTGATCGGTCTTGAACTCTCTTCGATGCCACTAAAGATGTTTTAGTGGAACCACCGTCAGTTTCTTCTCGTTCATGAAGTTGCATTTCCATGGTGCATAATCTTTTAAGAAGTAAGGTTGTTTGCTACGTAGACTCCCTTGTATTCAGGAATTCAAAATAAACAGTAGGCACAGTATTGAGTACTCTATTGATTAATAACGACTCTAGCAACTTTACTTTGTCCTCTTTCCAAATTTCGTCTTGGAATTCCATCCAAAACTTTTTCAAGTTTTGCCATGTGTCTAGCTATGCTTTCTAGGGGATCCTTTTCTCTGATTACAAAGAATTTGTAGTATAGTCTGTCTTGTCTTCGTTCAGTTCTTTGC